GACATTTTCACAGCAGCAATCTGGTGTTTTGTTGTGATACCAGAAATATCGTGTGTTGGTGTGACGCCATTAATTTGGTTTTTTGATGTGACACCAGCAATCTGGTGTTGTGGCGTAACATCAGGTTTTGTTGTAGTGTGATACGAGAGTACCTGTTGACTGGGTGTTGCTTTACTCACAAAAAGGGTACAATGATAAATTTGAGAACAACAGTGCTGTTATAATTACTTTATTCAAAGAAGCAAATAAGCACAACAGTAAGGCTTCGAAAGCTTTACGGTTGTAGGGAGTTGTCCGTGATCAACTGGAGTTTGCCCGGAGCCACTACCCTGCGTCGAAGAACCGGACGCGCTCTCGTTCTGCAATTCATGGCCTTTCAGCTTGCAGTTGACTCGTGTCTTAGTAACGCTTATCCGTTCCGCGTACCCCTGGGCGCCAAAAATCTCCTCTTCTAAGGCATCATATTCGACAGATAGCTCGATTTTCTTGTTCAGCTTTTTCAGGGAAGCCTCCTTAAGTAGAAGAATATCAAATGTTTCTTGGAGCTCACCGATATCGGTCGGATCCGTGGCCAGCAGGACGCCAACCTCGTTGATGATCTTTGTTGTGGAGCACGCAGGGTAATCCTCCTTCGCTTCAGGCGGTCGACGCCCTCCTCGCTCGTAGTTGGCATGATCTGGCCGTTAATTCCTGGTTTTCGGCACCAAGAACTGTAATAATTACTAGCTTAAATTTCTATGATATTTTGCTACCAAACCAAGCTCGTCGGAAGTCAGGAAAGCGCACCAACACACATCTTTTCGGATTCCAGTCACAAAAAAGACTCCTATATTTTCTCAAACTTAAGCAAGAATACCGGCGGAAAAGGAAAGGAAAACCCTCGAAGAGGCGAGCCGGCGAGCGCCCTAAGCTGCACAAGGCCGCCCGGGAAAGTGCTCGGGAGGAGGAAACATATTTTGTGCACAAAGTTGCCCGCCGCGTGGTCTCCTGTGACCACCAAGACGGGAGGAAACAAGGCACCACGTCGGGGGACGAGGCGGCACACAAACAAATAGAAAACACGCCCACGGACGGGGGAAAATACAACAAAACCACAGCTCTAATGTCACATCAAACTGCGTGCCGTGCACACCAGGCTGCCTGGTGGGCACATGAGCCCCTGTGGTGTGACACCAGACTCTCTTGATGTACCCACCAGGCTGATGTGACCGGTACACCAGCATTGCTGGTATCACAACAGATATTCTTGTGTCACACAGGATTCTCTGATGTCCCACTAAGATTGTCTGGCGTATGTTTCATTAGGGTCTCAACGAACAGTAACTGGTCTCACGCGAATTCGCCGCGTTTACGAATAATGGGGAGTGAGCCAATCAATATCGGGCCCGTACTACCCACAGATCAACGGGGAGGCTGAGAGGACAGTCCAAACGCTAAGTTACTCCTCAGGAAATCAATAGATATCCACCAACCATTTTTTTTTGTGGCCAGGCGTGTGACCCCGGGCGCCAAAGGTTACTCGCCCGCGGAGCTATTTATGGGACGAAGACTGCGCAGAAACGTGACTGTAAAGCCAGAATCTCTCCAACCTCACTGGGACACTAGCCACTTTCGCTCCATAAATTCCTTACACAAGGAGAAGATGCGCCAACTCTATGATGAGCGCCGCAAAACACGTGAGCTCGACACTCTTCCGCCTTCAACTGCAGTCAGAATTGTGACGGGAGCAGCGTCTTAAGGCGCATTTACACTGTGGCAAAAGACGCGTCGATGGGTGACTTTCTTGCTTATTTTTGTATTGAAAAACGTCGCGCGTCAAGGAGGACGATGCAGGAAGATGACGTGTCTGGACCCAATTTTTCCCTCGACGAGCGCGCTTTAGTCAATCAGCGAGCGACCGGACGTGACGTGTCGCCTTCTTTCGGTTAGGACATGTTTTCGGTGTATTTACTTTTGATCGACAAGGAAGGCAAAGATCGAGGGATTCATGCAGTTGCGAAACGTGGCTAGAAGCATTTCAACCTGGAGATAAGCCAGCCGACTGGAACATCTGACTGTGAGCAGTATTTATGTGCGTGTACGACTCGACGACGCCGTTAAACCACTCTTCATGGTTAGCGCGAAAGCCGCCACCAGAGTTCGCACGTGTTCCGACTTTGCAGGAGCCATCACTTCCTATATGCTTTGTGTATTTTTTGTGTGCGCGGCACCACTACGAAATACAACAGTTCTCCTTCGAAAACACAATCGCTCAAGCTACCTGAACTGTTAACGGTGCGGACGCCCGTACGTAGCACCATGCTTTGTTCGCACAAAAACGTGGCAAACGAACACCTTCTGAAGAAGCCCGCTCGAGTCCGCGCATTTCACCGTGCAGCATACAACCGGAGTGTAAACGTAAATAAAATCATCGCCGTTCTCCCTTAAGTGAAAACAAGTGTCTCGGAGCGCATATGCGTTCACGAGGGCAAGGCAACAACGAACGCACGGAGCACACGAAAAAAAAAACAAGTTTCGTCTTCTCTCGACAAAGCCGAGGTTCCCGGAACAGACGCTGACGTCAAGAGGCCCTGTGAGAACGCTTCGTCTTTTCAACGCCGGTGCCGACGTCGACCGCAGCGCGCGTTTTTTGCTCAGTGTTAAGTGGCTTTACGGTCACATTCTATAACAATAAAAATAATAACAGGTTATATTTTCCCTTAAAAAGTGTACGACGGAGGGAGACCGAGGAAAAAAGCTGCATGATGCTGCTTGACAAGCCCTTGGTACCACATTCTTACATTTAACAGCAGTGGCACAGAAAGAGAAAAATCGCGTGAAATAATATTTGCAGAAAAAAAGAATACATACATGCAAAACACAGTTCAGTACAACAATGTAAAGCAGTAAATTTATCGTAGCATTGTTTTAAAGGTCAATATTACATATTTGCTGCACAGTTATATTTGAAACAAAAAATGCTCGAAGGTCTCAAAATGGCAAGGTAGGAAGGTGGATGTTTTCGGTGCTATGTAAGTTGAGTATCCTAGGTAGCGTACTTGATAGCATTGAATCGCCATAAGTTGTTTTGTAATTTTGGACCATCCAGTACTCCATGTTACGGGTGAGATATGCGGTCACTATTGGTGTTAGGGACGCGAGTTCCAGAAATCTGTGAGAATATTTTTTATACATGTGATTTATAAGTTACAAACATTCGATATTGAAGAAACAAATCACTGGTATCAAAGTCATGACATCACAAATGTTTCGTAAAAACGTTTTGAAGGACAAGTATATTATTTAAATTAGTATTTGTTGTATTTCTCGAGACTGGATGGCAATAGTTCACATGGAAAAAAAATGAATTATAAACTAATAATTTGACGTGTTTTGGTAAAAAATGGCCGTTACAGTATATCACGCCAACCACGCGTGACAGCTATTCCAATACATCATCCACATGCTCGCCCCGTCTCGTTCGGTCGTTGAAGATGACACCGAACGCCTAAGAACAAGAAATCACTTTTATTTATTTAAAACTTAGGTTAATAGCGGTGGCAATATTATCATTCTTGTTTCTTGGGAGAAATAAAATGGCATTTGTTTTGCTATATTTTTTAATGAATTAGAACTACTTTAAGAAACTAGGTCCTTGAGAGTTCTATTTGCTTTAGTTACTAATTCGTCACAGCAGTTGCTTCAAAAAAAATTGTTTCGTCAGCATAGATTATATATTTTATCTGGGTTTACGTTTACAATATCATTCACATACGGGTTAAACAAAAACGGTCCCAAGATACTCCCGCGCCTAACACCGAATAAGTTTGGTTTTTCCTCAGAACAGAAGCTGTTTACGCGAACATATTGTTTTCGATGCGACAGGTATGACGCAGGGATGGGCAAAATACATGCAAATATCTATCGAAATACAAATACAAAATACTTTGTCAAAATGTATTTAATTACAAATCTAATTACATTTCCAAAGAAGTATTTAGATACAAGATACAATTACAACCAAATGCATTTGGTCTCCTCTAAATACTTTTCCAAATACATTCCTCAAAATTTGCGTCAGCGACTTCGAGCACCTGCAACGGAATTCTGGGTATCTCATATTAATTTTGCATCGCACACTCGGGAGTTAGTGTGCGAAGCTCTAGTAACGTAATAAAATATAATCACAAAAATGTAATCAGCTTGGACGTAATAGGTGAGAAAGGTACAGAGTTGCAGGCAGATTTTCTGTCGATTATACCTTTTGGTATGGACCAACAAAGAACCGAGACGACCAAGACGTGGAGCACCAGCTAGAGAATTTTTTATTGTTGCAACTTGCACCAGTTACGAACATCCGGACGACCCGCGCATTTAAAATGTTCCAGGCAAAAATATGAATAGAAATTACGCTAAAAAACTCAAAAGTTGTCACAGGCACTTATTTAGTCAGTCTGCCTGTGAACGTCGACTTCGTCACTATTCTTGCCCTGGACTAGCACCGTAATCACAAAGTCACTAAACTCTTGTGCTTGATTAAGAGACACTGCATTCGGTGCAGAACGTAGTTTTCTTCCTACTCTGGACAGTGACAATAAATTTACAGACGTATTTTCGCCCACAAAATTGTATTTAATTACAATTATATTTGAAATACCCTTGTTTTAGTATTTAAATAAACATGTCAAATACATTACTCAATTCGTAATTAAATACAAATTCAAAATACAGAAAGTATTTGAAGTACGAATTTCAAGTATTTGTATTCGAAATACTGCCCATCCCTGGTATGACGTAATTAAAGTTGAGGCATAATCACAAGATACGTACATTTCAAGCTTTCTGATGAAAAAATTGTGGTTTAAATGATCGAAAACTTTGCTGAACTCCATGAAAATTCCGAGTGTCATCTTTTTATCTCTAAAACTGCGGAAAATATGATAATTTTGTTCTAAAAGTGCAAGTTCCGTAGATCGGTTTTCGCGAAATCCAGACTGCGATGAAGCGATTGTATTATTGTGATGATCATTAATCCGTCTTGCACCCTGCTGGTGTCAAGCCGCAAGGACGATGAAGAAGAAGCCTGGTTGAGAACGGGGCCAGTGTATGACGCGGGGGTCATCTGTCATGCGAGTGTAAATATCACTAATTTACTGTGAGTCGGCGTCAGTCATTACATTGGCGACGAAGGAACGAACCACTGACTTTCGGCGCAAAAATCGGTGAATTCCATCTTGGCAGGGGTTCTTCATGGGAAGAATATGTGGTACGTGTCGAGTTATGCTGCGCCGCGAACAAGCTGGTTACCGACATCGACAAAAGGGCCGCACTGCTCAGCTGTTGGGGCCAGGACACCTACTCGCTGATATCGACTCTCTTCAGGCCCCTTCGACTACCGAGTGTGGAATACAGGACCATCGTCGACGCTGTCAAGAACCACGTCAACCCCACGCCATCCGAACGCCTACGCAAGGTACGTCTTTTCGAAGCGGGACCAACACGACAGCGAATCGGTTGCCAGCTACGTTAGGGAACTGCGTAAATTGGCTGAAAACTGCGGTTTTAATGACGCTCAGTTGCCACTAAGCATCATGCTCCGTGACAGACTGGTTTTCGTACTTGCTGACGGTGTATTCCAGCAACGACTACTCGCGGAAAAAAGTTTGACGTTCGAGGCTGCGTATGACTTAGCTGTCAGCTATAAGCAGCAAAAAGACATTGGTAGCAAGCGGAGCGATAAAGAAAGCAAAGAAGACGTAACCGCGCGAGTCAGCACACCAAGCAAGGAGAGAGGCATGCAGCTAAAAGCGGACGCTTCATCGCGCTTTCATCGGTGCATGGGCTATCACGATCCAGGTCGGTGCAAGTTCAAGAACGCGATTTGTTTCGCCTGCTCGGGAAAAGGGCACATATCTCGAGTTTGCAAGGCTAAGGTAAACGTACAATCCAGTCATCCTGTGGAAGATTGTTCAAACGTGACAATGTGTCCAAAACATGAGTACGACGAGCTTTTAAAGATAAAGCAGATTAAAAACTCACCAGAACGAATCTTGGTGACTGTGCAAATACTTGGTGAAAACGTCACAATGGAAGTCGACTCGGGGGCTGCGCGTTCTATCATTTCCGTGCAAGAGTTCAACAAGTTGAAAGCTTATCAAAGTGTCCATCTCGAACATTCCGAAACAAAGCTAGTCACGTGGACGAGAGGGGGACTTGATGTGCTGGGAAAAGCCATGATGCCCGTGAACTTCAAGAAGAAGAGTCTAGTGCTTCCGTTGCTGGTCGCAGCGAATAAGAAAAGCACGTTACTGGGCCGAGATAGGTTTTCGTCTCTGGGGATCCAAGTGGTGGGTCTGCACATAGTGACCAACGCCCACGAGAGCGTCGTGTCGAAATTTCCAGACGTGTTTGCAGCGTCTTTTCCAGGAGCTGCCCTACCGCCAATCAGCATCGAGCTGAAAGAAGGTGCACAGCCAAGGTTCTTGAAATGCCGGAGTGTACCCTTTGCAATTAAGGATGACGTGTGCGCAAAACTAGGCAAGCTGCAGGAACAAGGCATCCTAGAACCTACGCAGTATGCTGAGTGGGCCACGCCTATAGTAGTGGTGTGAAAGAAGAACGGATCCTTGCGGATCTGTGGGGATTATCGGAGCACAGTAAACCAGGCGGTGAGAGACAATGTTTATCCTTTGCCAACCAGCACAGAACTTTTCGCAAGACTGGGAGATGGCCGAGTGTTCACCAAACTGGATATAACTCAAGCCTACCAACAACTAGTGCTCGACGATGCGGCAGCAGGGCCTGCAACGATCAACACAGTAAAGGGACTGTGCAAGGTTAGGCGGCTGCCCTATGGAATCTCTGTCGCGCCAGGGTTGTTCCAAAGAACCATGGACACTGTGCTAGCAGGTGTCCCGCAGGTGGTGGCGTATCTAGATGACATCTTGATCGCCAGCGAAACAACGGAAGAACACGACCAGGTGCTCATCGAGGTGCTGACGCGACTGTCAAAATCCGGACTACGCGCGAACACCTCCAAGTGCGAGCTCTACGTCGAGAGTCTGGAATTTCTAGGACACAAGATTGACAGATACGAAATCTACCCAAGCCAGGCCAAGGTGGAAGCCATCCACCAAGCGCCTGCACCTATCAACAAGAAGGAGCGCCAAGCGTTTTTTGGTATGGTAAATTTTTATAACCGGTTTCTGAAGGGACGCTCTGAGGTAGCAGAAGTGTTACACAGACTTCTAGACAATGGATCAGCATGGGAATAGAATGCAAAACATCAAAAAGCGTTTGATGGCCTTAAGGATTTGCTAACCTCAAATTCTCTGCTGACTCATCTTAAGAAAGAGGTCCCACTGGTGTTTTCATGCGACGCGTCGTCAGTCGGGGTAGGGGCAGTGTTATCACATAGCGATAATGAGGGTCGCGAGTTGTCCATCGCTTACGCGTCCAGGACGCTAAACAAAACCGAAAGGAATTATGCTCAATTCGACCGTGAAGCGTTGTCCATTGTGTTTGGCGTCCGCCATTTTCATCAGTATCTCTGTGGAAGAAGATTTGTCATAATAACTGATCACAAACCACTCCTCGGTATTTTTTAACACCAGAAGCAGATTCCTTTCGTGCTTTCCCCGCGAATTACGGTGGACGCTCATGCTGTCGGCTTACACGTACACCCTGGAATACCGACGAACCCAGGACCATGGAAATGCAGAGGGCCTCAGCAGGCTGCCGGTGCCGGTCCCCCGGAAAGAAGAAGTTCCAGGAGATGTTCTACTCCTCGAAGCTGTCCAGTTCCCGCCGGTCAATGCAGTGGACGTGGCCAGAGAGACTAGTAAAGACCCTCACCTGTCCACGGTCATGCAGTGGATTCGCCATGGCTGGCCGCAAGAATACCTATCTGAGGAGTACCACGTGTACAAGGTGAGGAGCCAGGAGCTTTCGATACAGCAAGATTGCATAATATGGGGGAACAGAGTGATTCTGCCCAAGTCGTTGAGAATGGAGGTGTTGCAGCTGTTGCATGGGGACCATCCTGGAATAACGGCCATGAAGGCAATTGCTCGATCCTACGTTTGGTAGCCAAAAATCGATGAGGACATCGATTGCATTGTGAAACACTGCAGAAAATGTCAACATAACCGACAGAGTGAGCCGCAGGTGCCCACTCATTTCTGGATCAAGCCTGATAGGCCGTGGAGCAGAATCCATATCGACTTCGCTGGGCCAGTAAACGGAGTGTGCTTTCTTGTGGTCGTGGACGCATATTCCACTGGGCAGAAGTGGAAATTGTACCGTCACTAAGCTCGTCGATGGTTATCGAAAAGCTGCACAAATTATTCGCGTCATATGAACCACCTGACCTAGTCGTGTCGGATAATGGAACAGCCTTTGTGAGTCAAGAAATGCAAGAATTCTTGAAGATCAATGGAATCAAAAGTATGCAGACTGCTCCTTATCATTCGGCTAGCAATGGTAGGGCTGAGCGAATGGTTCAGGAACTAAAAATGGCCCTCAAGAAGCAAGAGGAAGGAACAGTGGCATGCAAGGTGTCAAGATTTTTGTTTAAACAACACTCAACTCCTCACGCTGGTACCGGGAAGTCTCCGGCGGAGCTAATGTTAGGACGGAAATTACAGTCTCCACTGGACAAGCTTCACCCAGACAGCCACGCGGATGGCTACTGCGCGTTCAGTGAACCAAAGAGAGTGTTTAGTCGTGGGGATTTTGTGTATGTGCGGAACTTCGGGGTGAGTGCTAAGTTGTTAGGAGCCCGAGTCCTGCAACGTCTGGGACATGTGATGTACAAGGTGCAGACATCTGATGGCGTGACACATCGGCGTCATGCAGATCACGTAACGAAGGCGTGGGCGAGTACACCTCCGTCCACAAGGCCTGGAATAAACGAGTCCTTCAAGCTACCGTCTAAAACTCAGCCAAGTCATAGTGAGCAGCATTCAACACCGCCGCACCGACCAATGCAGCCACCGCCGGTTGCAACATCGTCGGAACAGCAAGGTTCGCCACAGCCGCGTCGCTCTTTCCGAGAACGACGAACTGTGTGTCGATACGGCGTCGACAGCGACTAAGGGCGAAGAGATGCGATGATCATCAATTCGTCTTGCACCCTGCTGGTGTCAAGCCGCAAGGACGATGAAGAAGAAGCCTGGTTGAGAACGGGGCCAGTGTATGACGCTGGGGGTCATCTTTCAGGCGAGTGTAAATATAACTAATTTACTGTGATCCGGCGTCATTCATTAAAGAGAGGTAGTGCGAACTTTGCGTACGGAGAGAGGAGTGGGGGTACGGTGTCGGTTGCGTTGTTGGTGTTGCGTGGGGGCTTGTTCTGCGTGTGTTTAGTGTATTTTGTGTGTTCAGTGATGTGTATGTATCTACCATAGCGTTCAGAAGCCACCGAAAATTGAATTTGACTTTTTTATAGTGTGTTGGCTAAATATAGCCATAGGAAAATTCATACAGCCTTCTTTAGCTGACCATATAAATTGCTAAAGATACCAAAGAAAAAGCCATAGGCAGCATAAGCATGCTGGATGTAACGTGCCAGCCATTAGAAAAGCTAAAGAGTGCTATGGCTGGACTGTGGTAGGGCCATTGACAAAGCTAAAAAAGCCAATAAAGACGACCGTAAAAAATGCTAAAAAAAGCCATAGAAAACTCTTTAGCTAGTTTGGCCAAATAGCTAAAGCCGACCATTAAAGAATTTTCTATAACCGACCATAGGACATTTTTGTATGGGATATGTGCACCTCTGATCGCGTGAGAAGAAAAAAAAAACATGACCCATTCCACTTTGCGAAGGGGGATGACCAGCGAAGATCTTTACCACACGACACAGACGTTACACAGAATTTTGAGCAAAGGTTCGAACACATTTATTGTCTTCATCGGTGGTCAGCGTGACTGAAGGTACGGACACATATTTAGTGCTGTCTTAAGTGGTGGTCATTAATTCGCATGGACGTCTAACACCACCCCGAGGAGACGGAGGAAACTAGACACGCGCGACTGGGCGGCCACCCGGCGGAAAGTAGACACGCGCTTGGGGACCGCCAACCCGGGAGGACGGACGGAAAGGAAACTAGGCACGCAAGCGGCTTTGAGCGACGGCAAAGAGAGGGCGGTGCGAGCGTAGACATGGCCGACGCGTGTCGCACAGTGGCAAATCTCTTAGAAAAATTTACTACTGATCTAAAAATTGGTGACTATATTTGATAACTAATGTACTGAACAGAACTAACCTAAATTACCCAAGCATCAATGAGAATCCCGGGAAGGGTGTCCCACTCGCCGCACGTGCCTGTGTCTTCAGCAGTAACTGTTCTAAAGCAAAAGTCTAAAACAAATAGCATCTTGCACGCGCGGTCGTCAACGCTTTATTTTGGTTATTTACTTCGAATCTTTTATGCGGGGGAGGTGTGCGAGCGTAGAGCTTTTGCTGACGCCTATGGAATCTCTACGAAACACAAACCATAAAGACCTTCGCTAAACAAAATTACTATATTTTTTGTTAGTTTTTAGGGTGCGCTCTGTCGCTCCCACGGCATTGTACAGTTACTTCCTGTAGGAGTTCATTGTTATTGGATTTCACAGCTCAATTAGCTCTGCGTACAATTACACTTTGTTCTTTGTTGCAGCGGTGAGGCAAGATGCAAAAACACGGCAGTGCCATGTTTTTTCATCTTATTTTCGTTCTTTTGAGAGTGTGCATTGTTTCTCTATTGGTTGCACAGAAAACCGGCTGTGTATGAGAAGATGTTTCGACCGTCTCTTTTTCCACGTCTCTGCACTTAAAACCCGAGTGGGCCGCCTTAAAATATTACAGTGAAGGGTCAAATGTATTTCTAATATAAATTGTAGGATCATATTGTCGCCAATCAGTGAATGACATTTGGCGTGAAGTAACCGTTGCATGTAGTGGACATTGGAAAATGAGGCTGGATACAAATATACTATCGCACACACAGCAAGTTCTTTTTATATAATTAAGAGTTTTTTTTTTTGTTGATAAGTTGGTAAACAAAATCATGATACCGAGCTGGGCGTCCTTAGTCATTTAAGTGATTCTCAGCTGCCTTATAAGTGAGACCGCGCTCAACGCTACGATCCGCCGAATACTTGAAGCAGCACCGGAAGTGTATGGTCTTGGCTCTGGTCGTCTTTTTGCGTTTTCCAGCTAAAACAATCATGCGTAGTGCATGCACCGTAAGACTATGGTGCCTAGAGCGCGTCTTCCACTGGTGTGTTTAGGGTCCTATGATGCCCATGCATCAAAAGTAGTCACGAATTGGCAACCAATGACGTCACAGACGCCGAAGTGTCATGCTGTTGCATGTCGCGATCCTGGCGGTTGGTCACAGAAATGCTAACGAGAAGCAGCGAGCAGCACAAGCGAACGCGAGTGTCGCTGTCGTCACGGCGTCCCAACTTTTGGC